CTGGGCGCGGGGCGGGCAGGACTCGACTGACTTCGGACCCCTGGAGGGGATTTGGGGAGGTAGGAGGGGGAGCGCCGCCTCCTCCTCCTCCTCTTCCTCCGTTTCCTCCTCCTCCTCCTCCTCCTCTCCTCCTCCTCCTCCTCCTCCTCCTCCTCCTCCTCCTCCTACTCCCTGTGCAGGGGTTCCTGCGTTCTTTATTACGCCAAGGTCGTCTAGCTAACTGTAAGTAGATGCTGATGTCGACAGGGGGAGGGGCAGCCAAGCAAAAACCTGAGCAAAACCTCTTCATTTCTCCTACTCCTTGTTCCTCCTTCTCCCTCGTCCTCCGCCTCCTCCTTCGCGAAACGAGAAGAAGGGTCCGAAGCGCCCGCAGGGCAATCGACCCCGAGGAGGGACACTCGGCAACATGCCCCAAGTGCCAAACCACACGCCCATCGAGACGGAATAGCCGCCTACAGCCTCAGAACGCGCCTTCCTCCATGCACAGATGAACGACACACATGCGCGCGCAAAGGGTGCGCAAGCCAGGGCGGCTCCAGTGGCGGAGCTGCCGCCGCAGCAGCTGTCGGCAGCAGCTGGTCAACAGCTGAAGTGCCGAAGAGCGTGCAGTCGGATATTTGTGATGCAGTTTGATTGTCGTCATCATCGTCATATCCCTCCTCCTGCCATCGTCCTCCCAGCGCGCGTTTGGCGCGCATTTGGCGTGTCTGCTTCGTTGTGCCCACGCGTCCTACTGGATGCATGGCTTCACTGACTGACTGGCGGTGCGCCCCGAGGGGAAGGCAGATGGGGGTCGGCCTGCTCAGAAAGCGACGGGGCTTCCCAGGAGCCCTGAGGCCTTCCGAGAAGCCTCCCGAGCCTCCCCCGCAGCCCCGAGGCCACGGACGGTTTCTTGCAAGGCGCGGGGGGATTCCGCTCTGCCTCCCTGAGGTCGGGGGCGGCCAAGAGGGGGGGCGTCCAAGATGGGGGGGTGCAAATCATAGCCCGCGGCGCGTGCGCGGCCCAGGGGGGGGCCAGGGACGTAATGAAATCAGAAGAGGCGCCGCGAAACCCGGGGAAACATCATGGCCCACGCCATGATATCCGCCCCCCCTAGTCATCACCCCCCTCTTTGCCGCCCCCGATGAGGGGCAGCGAGAAGGAGGGGGATCGGCTCAGGGTGGGAAGCTTCGACCTGGGATCGGCGACACGTCGCCGACAGATCGGCGACGGCCTCCCCCATGGCACAACCACGCGTTCCTGGGCGGGTGGGCCTGCAGGCCCACATCGGCGACGAGTGGGCGACGGGGGGTCGATGCGTCCCCCCGGCGATCCTCCTCGTTTTCGGGCCATCGCGAGGCGGGAGAACCGCCGAGCACCCGCCCTGTGGACAGGGACGTCGACATGGAGGAGGGGCCAGAGGGGTGGCGGCCGCGGCGGCGCCCGCTTCCTTTCTCAGTGCGCCTTCGGGGGCCGCGGCGGCCTCGGGCCACGGCCGAGGCGCGGGGGGCGCTGTGCCGCGCCGCGCCGCGCGCCCGGCCCGTCCCCCCACGTCCAGGGGAGGGGCCCTCCTCCTGAGGCCTGCGACCCGAGACCTGATGGCAAGAGGATGCGTCGGATGCTGCCTTTGGCCCCCGCCTGCGGGTGCCGTATGGCGTCGCTGGCGGGGGCACCTTTCCGAAAATGGGCCGCTGCCGCCCAGCAGCGGCGGGCCGCGGGCTGCGGGCCTCCTCCTCCCTCACCCCCCCCCCTCACATCCACCCTCCTAGCGCCCCGGGGGGGCTCTGGGCCCATGGAGCGGCGGAGGCGCTGCTCCCCCCAGGATCGCTGCAGCCGCGAGCCGCGGCGGGCCCAGCTCCAGCCCCCTCCCCCCCCCCCGCGAGGCCGCCAGTCCCCCCCCCCCCCCCCGCCACTGTGGGAGGGCAGCACGCTCACCCTCGAGGGCGCGACGACGATGTGGGAGTCGATCTCCCGGGCGCCCGTGCGGAGGGAGCGTCGGTGGCCCCCGTAGCCCAGTTGGACGAAGGAGTGCTGGAGCCCCTCCTCGGTGACGCTGACGGACAGGAGGGCGCGAAACGCGGCCTAGGGTCGGCGTCTCCAGGTGTGCAGCGTCGGGGTTTGGGGCGAGGGAGGCGCACGTGGAAGAGCGTCGGGTTGTGGGGTTTGGTGGGCGGACGGGTGATGCCGGGCATGCCGCGCAGCCCCTGTGCCGCCGTGAGGCCTGTCAGCGTGTGAGCGGGGGCCTCGCCCTCGCCTCGGGGTGCATGGAGCCGCGCGGCCCCAAATCGTGTTCCTGGTAAGTGAGCTTCTGTTCTGCGAAGTGCGCTTCCGATCTGCTTGACCCTGTTGCCAGCCCCGCATCCTGCTACTTGTGTTGTCCTCCTCCTCCTCCTCCTCCTCCTCCTCCTCCTCGTGCTCCTCCTCCTCGTGCTCCTTCTCTCCCTCTCTTTATTCCGCATCCCCAGGAGTGGAAGCCTTTGATGAATGCCCATCTGCACTTGCATTTTGCATATGCATTGCACTTGCATGGAATATCATTGCATGATCCAAAATGCAACGCGCGAGGTGGTCTGGCCAATTTTGCTTCAGACATTCTCGCCTAAAACATCCTCCCAATTCTGGGAGATGCCGCGCGCGAGGTGATCTGGCCAACTTCGCCTGAGATATCTTCGCAACTCTGGGCCCCTAGACGCCGCGCGCGAAGAGGTGTGGCCCGGCTCGCCTGAGAATCCTTGCAACTCCGGGCTCAAATTTGTCCGGGCTTGATGTGGTCCCGCCCCATTCGCCTGAGACATCCGTGCGACTGTCGGCTCAGAAATACATGTCGCGAGGTAGACTGGCCCAATAATCGCTAAAGGCATTGTCGCAACCTTGGGATCGGAAATGCTCTGACCTGAATTGGTCCAGCCCGATTTGCACATGACATCCTTGCAACTCTGGGACCCCAAATGCAATGACCTGAAATGGTCCGTCCCAATCTGCCAGGGGCATTCTGGCAACTCTGAGATACGAGATGCCAGGCGCGAGGTGGTCCAAACAAACTCGCCCGAGACATCCTCGCAGCTCCGGCTCTGAGATTCCGCGTGCGAACTGGTCTGCCCAATTTTGCCTACAACATCTTCTCAACTCTGGGTTCGAAGATGTCCCGCGCAGGCTCAGAGATACTCTGACCCGAGGTGGTGTAGCCCGTTTCGCCTGAGACATCATCGCAACTCCATGCTCTGAGATGCCGCGCGCGAGGTGGTCTGGCCCGTTTGGCCTGAGACATCCTCGCATTCCTGGACCAAGAATTGTTGTGGCCTGAGGTGGCCTGGCCCAACGGGCTCGAAACATCCTCGTAACTCTAGGCTCGAAGCTGCGACGCGCGAGATTGTCCGCTCTGGCTCGCTTGAAACATCCTCGCAACTCTGGGTTTCGAAATGTTCCTGACTTGAGGTGGTCTTGCCAATTTCGCCTGAACCATCTCCGCAACTCTGGGCTCATACATGCCGCGTCAAAGGTCGCATGGCCAATTTCGCCTGACGCACCCACGCAACTCCAGGCTCAGAGAAGATGCGCTAGAAGTACTGCGGCCAGATTTGCCTGATCCATCGTCGCAACTCTGGACTCCATGACGCCACGCGTGAGACGATCGGGCCAATTTCGCCTGAGACCTCCTCGCAACTCTGGGCTCCGAGATGCCGCGCGCGAGGTATTCCGGTCAGTGTTGTCTGAGACATTCTCACAGCTGGGCTCCGAGAGGTAAGAGAGAGGAGGCGTCAGACAGGGCAAAGCCAACCCTACCTGTCACATTACACTTCTGAGATCGAATTGCGCTCAAGGATGGGCCCAGGCGCACCTGCCCCGAGGAGGCATGTAGCCGACGCCGAGGCGAGACATTATTTCTGAGTCACGTGAAGTCTCAGGCGGGTGGGGGGCGCCATGCCTTAGTGCGTATTGAAATCTGGAGCGAGAAGAGAAATAGAAGGACGAGGAGGAGAACCAAGAGAGGAGGGGCGAGAAAAACCAGGAGGAACAGCATTACGAACGCGAAGACGAGAACGAGAAGGTACCCAACCCTTGCGCAATGCGGGGCATCAATAGATCAGGATTGCTACAACGGGGGCGGTGACGTAACATGCACGCATGTGATTTTGCGAGCAGCAATCGGAAGGCTCGCAGGCCCCCAATCAAGATATAAGGGCGTCGTAGTGGTTACTAACGCAGCCCCCCCCAGGGACGGCGAGGTCTCGCTCAGGTCCCCGCGGTGCCTCACTCCGCTGGACCCAACAGCAGCCCTCGAAAGTGGCGACAGCGTCGCAGATCGCAGCCCCCCAGGGACGGCGAGCGAGCGAGCGAACCACTCGAACATGCCTGCCGGCTGCTCGGCCCTGTGCAGGGCATGGGTGTGCAATCAGTCTACCAGCCAGACAACAAATTTGTGAGACATGAACAGAAAATGGAATTGGGAATTCGGAATAATGCAGAAGAGGAGGGGCAGGGAGGGAGGGAGAAGGGAGGGGAGAGGGGGGGAGGGGCATCACACCTTCATCATGCAGAACTCGATGTACTGCTTCTCCCTCCCCGGCGTTTGCAGCGCCTGTTCCAGAGAATCTGCGCCGACGTGCGCGCAGAACTGTCTGAAGTCATCTATCCATTGCAGCGGTGGTCTGCCTCGTGCTCGCTTGTGAGCAGACTGCAGGTGTCGAAGATGGGGAGCCCATTTCTCAACTCCTGCGCAGAAGAGCCGGCGAGCCAGCCGCCATTTCAAAAAGAACATCCTTTCCGATGCGTCTGGGGAGGCTGCCGTGGACAGCATGTTCGACACGCGCGTCTGCAAGGTATCGCTCAAATCCCCGCGGTGCCTCAGTCCGCTGGACCCACCAGCAGCCCTCGAGAGTGGCGACAGCGTCGCAGATCGCAGCCCCCCCGGGACGGCGAGGTCTCGCTCAGATCCCCGCGGTGCCTCAGTCCGCAGGACACACCAGCAGCCCTCGAAAGTGGCGACAGCGTCGCAGATCGCAGCCCCCCAGGGACGGCGA